TGTTGTTTTTTGTGGGGGTTTTTGTTGTTGTTTTTTTGGGGGGGGAGGCGGCGGTTATTTTATTTTTCCCTCTTTTTATAGTCTAGTGCTGTGTTCTGTCCTATGGGTGGCTCGCTTCTCCACATATTTAGTATTTCAAGTGTTTTTTTATCTCATGAGTACACGAGGTATTCCCTCAGAAATACCTAAAGTATTCCCAATATCAAAGCAAAAATACTCAAGAGGTTCTCGTCTTCTGTTAAAAGTTCATATGGGACTATTGACTGTTCAGGGAAGTACCAAGTTTTGGTGACATGTTTAAAAAAGAAATTATTTCCACTCCCAAACGGGAACTCTCACAACTTCCCAAGTGATTTTTGTCTTTGGTCTTCGATTCGAGTAATGCGATAGTTATTTTGATGCACAGAGACATGCGAACAGATTATATTATGAACTAAAATTATTATTGCTATGGTTATCTTACACAATAACGTAAGAGACAACTATTTGCAATGGGTATTATGTAAACTTGTGACCAAAGTACACTGCCGTAAATACAACAGCGACGAAAGCAAGTACGAACATAGCTGCAATGAAGATCAGTACGTGCTTCATTTTCATCTCTTTCAGTGGGTAAGGGTTGGAACCCAGACGCTTGGGCTGGGGAGAAAGAAGGAGAAAATAAAGTCTGAAGAGTATGATATTGATGGTTGTGAGGATAGTGGCGGTGGTGGTGAGGAAGATTGCGAAATTGTGATGATAATTATAGTAATGATGATGAGGTGGAGGGGGAGAAGAAGTTGGAGCAGGAAGGGCAGGTGGTGAATGATAATGATGATATTGAGAAGGAGGGAGAGAAGGAAGAAGATAGGGATTTTGAGGAGGAGGAGGGGGAAGAGGAGGAGGGGACCAGGACCAGGATGATGACGACAATATGACAAGTTTAAACAAGTCAAAGCAAAAAGGAAGGTAAGGGATCACAAATGACTCTCTCTCTCTCTTTCTCTCTCTCTCTCTCTCTCTCTCTCTCTCTCTCTCTCTCTTTCTCTCTCGCACACACACACGCATACACACACACACAGAGAGAGAGACAGAGAGAGAGAGAGAGAGAGAGAAACACACAGACAAAGAGAAAGAGAGAGATTGAGAGAGACGAGGAGGGTCTTTACGA